TTCATTTACTGGCATTTTAAACACTCCTATCATTGCATGATCTATAGAATTACTTGCTTTAGTACACAGTGTCTGATAATAGTCTGATCCATGGCACTGCAAATGATGGTAACATAGTGGCATAACCCTTAAGATCCAAGCAAGGCAATACAAACCATAAGGGGATCACAAGGTTGTCCAAGCAATCTCACTGGTACCACATATTCTAAGTCATTTTTCAAAAATTTGTATGTTTTAGTAGATAATCACCACTATAAAACACTAAACTCTAAGTTGTCCAAACACCTACATATGTCCTTGCTGGATCAATGGGCTCTTGGAGCTAAGTATCCAGACATACCACAAATATTAAGGCCCCACGTAAAACATCTCATGTTGTGTATCTGAATGACACTGAGGGCAGCTAATAGCTTAAGTCTGTTATCATATGATATTCTTTTCCATATTCCAGTCTTTTGTTGCACTCTACTGCTCCTTTCTTACTTTCTCATTCTCTTCTACCTCTTCCCAATACATTAGGCCTGCCCACAACAACCATGGGCGTTAATGTGTGCTGATGTGCACATGGTGAACGAATTTCTGCAATACATGGGTGCTTGTCAGAACATAAGGTTACCCTATTTACTAACAAGCTATGTCAATAATGCTGACTAAAAGGCTTGTCTGTGGCCAGGGAAACTTCAATTATGTTTCCACTTATTCATTGTTGAAATTATCAGAAACCAAATTCTTGAGATGGTGCCATATTAAAATTATTATTCCCTACTCGAGCTCTACAACTTATGAAGGAAATGAAAATAGGTCATTCCACAAATAAAAATTCTGTCCTTTCCACCTACAGACCTTCCTGAAAACAGTAAGTTATTTATTCCCAAATTTTCATCACAAACTACATATCCTCTCCCTTGAATTGGTTGTTCTTATACCTGCCCTTGTCCTCAACTTGTTTTCTGAGCTAGAGGCCCACTTTGTCGCCCAGGCTAGAGTGCAGTGGCATGATACTGACTCACTGCAACCTCCACTCACTGCAATCTCCACCTCCTGGGCTCAAGTGATCCTTCCATCTTAGTCTCCTGAGTAGCTGGGAGCACAGGCACGCACCACCATGCCCAGCTAATTTTTCACTAGGCTCATTTAGGTCTTGCTATGTTACTCAAACTGGTCTCAAATTCTTGAGCTCAAGCAATCCCCCTGCCTTGTCTTCCCAAAGTGCTGGGCTTACAGGCATGAGCTATCACACCTGGCCTGGATTTTCTAACAGTGCCCAGCCCTGTTCTTACAGATCTTAAAATTGCCTTTTGAGTACAAAATAAGCAAGGATTTGTATTAAAGGAGTAAAATTACACATTTAATATCACATAGACTGAAATCATTACAAAGTAGCTAGGTAGACCAATATTCAGTTTATGCTCAAATGCAATTTAAAGAAAACAATCCAGCATGATAAAATTATTCAAATTTAATTTAAACTTTTAAAATAACTTCAGCAGCCAAAGTTTCTCAGACATAACTAGAGGCTTAACCTGCCATTGATCTGCATGCCTAGGCTAGAAGCCATCATGCCATAAAATCACTCTGGGGAATTTACAATTTCATTCATCTTTCCCAAAAAAAAACCCTCCTAATTCTAGAAAGTGTTTTATAAAGTGGAGTTTTGGAAAAAATACGCATTAACTCATTAGCCTGACCACAACATAGCTAATGCAGTGGCAAAGATCTGGTGACTGCCAACCAAGGGCAAAAAAATTTTATGGATTTGGAATATCTGCATATACGTAATGAGATATCCTGGGAATGGGACCCAAGTTTAAACACGGAATTCATTTATGTTTCATGTACACCTTGTCCACACAAGCCTGAAGGTAGTTTTATATAATATTTTAAATAATTATGTGTATGAAACAGTTTTTATCACTGCAACCTGTCACATGAGGTCAGGTGTTAAATTTTCTACTATGGTGTCACGTGAGTACTCAAAAGTTTACAGATTTGGGAGCATTTCAAATTTAGAATGCTCAACTTATACCAGCCTTCTTATATCTCTTCTTGGCTTTGTGATTAAGTATATTATGTCATCTTTGCAAATTTCAAAATGTGTAAAAATTGGGCCAGGCGCAATCCCAGCACTTTGGGAGGCTGAAGGTGGATCATTTGAGGCCAGGAGTTCGAGACCAGCCTTGTCAACATGGCAAAACCCCAGTCTCTACTAAAAATACAAAAATTAGCCAGGTGTGGTGGTGTGTGCCTGTAATCCCAGCACTTTAGGAGGCTAAAGAGAGTGGATCATTTGAGGTCAGGAGTTTAAGACTAGCCTGGCCAACATGGTGAAATCCCGTCTCTACTAAAATACAAAACATAGCCGGGTGTGGTGGCACACACCTGTAATTCCAGCTACTTGGGAGGCTGAGGCACAACAATCAGTTGAACCAGGGAAGTGGAGGTTCTAGTGAGCTGACATCATCACACTGCTGCACTCCAGCCTGGACAACCAAGCGAGACTTTGTCTCCAAAAAAAAAAAAAAAAGTATGAAAATTAGCCTTTGCCTCAAGTAGACAAATCAGAATAAAAATTCTAACTAAATCATATACAAACAAGAATAACAAAATTTAAAAGTCTAAGGCAGCTGATTCATGTATACAGAAAAGCCACCTGGTGGCAAATCAATAAATATGTAGCTATTTTCTAGCAGTATGCTAGCCATAGAAGGGTCTTGCATCATCCTAGTACTCATGGGTTGCTAAAAAAACACTACCTTCTTCAAAGCTAACAATGGCGGTAACTAGGTTGCTGAAAAAAGGTCTTCAAAGAAGAGTGAGGAATTAGGACATATGCTTCTCCTATTTCACATATGGAAAGATTTTTAAAAAGGGGGGCCGGGCGCGGTGGCTCATGCCTGTAATCCCAGCACTTTTGGAGGCCAAAGCAGGCAGATCACAAGGTCACGAGTTCAAGACCAGCCTGGCCAATATGGCAAAACCCCATCTCTACTAAAAATACAAAAAATATTTAGCCGAGTGTTATGGCGCATGCCTGTGATCCCAACTACTCGGGAGGCTGTGGAAGGAGAATCACTTGAATCCGGGAGGCTGAGGTTGCAGTGAGCTGAGGTCACGCCACTGCACTCCAACTTGGGCGACAGAGCAAGACTCCATCTCAAAAAAAAAAAAAAAGGGCTGACGCAGCGGCTTACGCCTATAATCCCAGCACTATGGGAGGCTGAGGCAGGAGGATCACAAGATCAGGAGTTCAAGACCAGCCTGGCCAATATGGCAAAACCCTGTCTCTACTAAAAATACAAAAAAAAATTAGCCAAGTGTGGTGAAACATGCCTGTAATCCCAGCTACTCGGGAGGCTGAGGCAGGAGAATTGCTTGAACCTGGGAGGCAGAGGTTCCAGTGAGCCGAGATCACACCACTGCACTCCAGCCTGGGTGACAGAGAGAAACTCCATCTCAAAAAAAAGTAAAAATAAAAATAAATTTTTTAAAGGGCGAAAGGAAGAGGAAGAGAACAAAAGTCTATATACCCTTAATCCAAAACACACCTTCTCTAGAATTTACGCATTTATGCTGTGAGGTAGGCAGTGTGGGGATATCATCTTCTGCAGTTCTTCTCCTGGAAGTGGAACTTTCCGCTGCACTTTGCTGAAAGAAGGGAAAGATGTCGTCCATCAGTGCAGCAGAAATAACTGAGACCAAGGGATGTAGCAGTTCCATTCTGGCTCACCAGTTAGTGTGAAACACAATGGGTTACACACAAGAAAGAGAACTCAAGTTCACGACAGTCATCAAATAAAGGCAACATCTCTCCTCAACCCACTGTAAGCAAAGCTAGGAGAATCCCAAACCTGGGGGGAAAAAACCTCTGCACAAAGGCCAAAATCTACTGTTAAAAACGGGCTATCTGTAAAAAGCCGCAAGCCTACTACAAAATTAGGCATAATTCAGAAAACATGTGAAACCCTCACCAAATACAAAGATGATTATAAAATTTCCCCAAATTTGGGGAAGCTTTAGGAAATGGCCTGACATGAACTTAACTGCAACAAGTCTATTAAAATCTAATAAAGCAATTTCCACACACACACACACACACACACACACACACACACACGCGCGCGCATACACACAAACCCAAAGAAAAATGCAACTGGAAGAACTGAAGATCAGAAGTGCTACATCCCAAAGAAAGGTTCAGAGACTGGAACTCTGTTATGGGCAGAACAGAGAAGGTTCACTCTGTCCTTGGTCTGTGAACTCCCAAGAACCTTTCTTATTAAATTCTTACCACATTCAGGGAAAGGTCTTGGGAGTTCAAGATCCATAGGTACAGAGAAGGGGCCACTCTGTACAACAAAAGAAGTCACCATGTGGTGATTTTACCTTCAGTTGGTCTTGACTTGGAATATCCATACTGTGATCCTGTGCGAGAGCGAGAGTCTGAGCAGCATCTGGATAGCAAGTAAAACAAAAGGAAAACCTTCCCTGGTAATAACCATTCTTTCCACACAAAAAGGACCAGCAAACAACCCGGAAGCCAGGTGTAGTCCCTAGAAATGTACTTCACCATGTTGGCTGGACACGGCTCTCATTTGCAAGGGAAAAATCAAAATTGGTAAAAATGACAAAGACCAGGACAGGCTATATCCAAAATATATTACCAAAATATAATTGGGAAAAAAAGTGAAAAATAGCTAAAAATGTTCTTTCATATCAAGCTTTGAAATTTTTATATGAAAAGTGGTTCTAAGCAGTATATAATGGAAACTATTTTCGTCATCTCTTCCCGTATTACCAAATTTGACTAACTCACAAACAATAGCAAAAAAGTGTGTGGCTTTTTAAATTTAATTTTTATTTTCATGTATTTAAATAAAGTTTTTCTCAAGACCAATAAAAAGAAGCAAAGAAAACAACCCAGTAGAGAGAAATTCTTAGACACTGCACTAATCTGAGAGAAATACATTCCAAGGATTTAAAAAGAAATTTTTCAAGTAGAACAAAAGACAAAAACTTGGCTACAAGAAAAGATCAAGGTGCAAACAATAATCTGGACTATTCATTATTTGAGGCTATGAAAATGAGATACACCCAAATAAGTCTACTGTGGGTCAGGTTCATCAACGACTACCAGGTTCAGAGATAAAATATTTACGGAAATTATCGTCACCATCCAATAAAGGCTGCTAGAGGAAGGATACAGATCCTACAAATGATCTGTCAATGTAGTTGTTCTAATAAAAGCAAACATTTTCAAAATTCTAATTATAAAAAACATTATTTCCAAAAACATTTTTGTAGATACACGGAGGAAATGAAAAGTTCGAGAGACAGCATTTTCTGACCACAGCGGTCTTCATAGCAAAGTTCAATTAATATATAATGCAGATGGAGCAATTCTTTAATAAAGCAATCCTATTACTGTCATTTATATTTCTAAAGCCTTACCACCTTACTTAGGTTAAAAGAGTTGCAAGCAAAAATAAATTCTCTGAGGAAATCACAATGTAAAAAAGAAGTTTTAAAATCAGCCAGGTGTGGTGGCTCACGCCTGTAATCCCAGCATTTTGGGAGGCTGAGGTGGGTGAATTGCTTGAGCCCAGGAGTTCAAGACCAGCCTGAGCAATCCACCAGCCTGGTGAAACCCCATCTCTACTGAAATCACAAAAATTAGCCAGGTTGGTGGTGCATGCCTATAATTCCAGCTACGCAGGAGGCTGAGGCAGGAGAATCACTGGAACCCAGGAAGCAGAGGTTGCAGTGAGCTGAGATCACACCACTGCACTCTAGCCTGGTAGACAGAGCGAGACTTAGTCTCAAAAACAAATAAGTAAACAAACACAAAGTTCATCATATTTCATTAGTATGCTTGGGAAAATCTGGAGAAATGATTTAGAGAGAATTGCCTTCATTTTAAACAATGGCATCTTCTTCAACCATTAAAATGAAAAGTCTAACCCACTTGCAAAGGTATAAAATAGATTATATGAAAAGCACTTCTCTCATTTAAAAAACAACAGAGATGGCCAGCCACAAGCACCAATGCAATTGCAAGTCTGAACAGATAACCTATCAGAACTACTTGGGGCAATTTCTTGGTTTTGATCATACTATAATTGTGTAAGATGTTACCACTTGGAGAATCTGGGTAAAGGATACAGGGAAACTGCGATACTTTTGCAACTTTATTAAGTCTGAAATTTTTTCAAAATGACAAATTAAGGAATAAAAATGGGCCAGGCGTGGTCGCTCACACCTGCCATCCCAACACTTTGGGAGGCCGAAGGGGGACTGCTTAAGTCCTGGAGCTCAAGACCAGCCTAGGCAACATAGTAAAAACCTGTTTCTACAAAAAAATATACAAAAAAAACTAGCCAGGTATGGTGGTGTACTCCTGTAGTCCCCAGCTACTGGGGAGGCTGAGGTGGGAGGACTACTTGTGCCACGGAGGTGGAGGTTGCAGTGAGCCGAGATCTTGCCACTGCACTCCAGCCTGAGCAACAGAGAGATGCTGTCTCAAACCAAACCAAACCAACCCAACAACAAAATGCTCTTTATATGGCATGTTAAATTCTGCAAAGAAAGTACAAAAGGGAGAATTACAGATATTCTAAGAACAGATCAATCCGAAAACAAATTTTACTGAAAAAGTGGATCAGCAATTATAAAATCCTCCATGTATTTCGAATCTTTAGTGACTATCCCAGGAAAGTCATGCTATTTTACAAGTGACTGAATTTCAATAAAGCTGCCATATCATTTGCAGGGCCTTCTCTCTCAAATTGACAGCTATGTGAAGTGGGCAAATGACTCAATGAGACCAAAAGGCTTCAAAATTCAGTAAGTTCAAAATCATGTTTCAGTATGAGAGCAATGTCTCCTTCTCTGCCTTTAAAGAATAAATCTTTATTAGGAATTGATTCTAGGGCTGGGCCTGGTGGCTCATGCTGTAATCCCAAGACTTTGGGAGGCTCTAAGTGGAAGGATAGCTGAGGACAGGAGTTCAAGACCAGCCTGAGCAACACAGGAAGATGCCATTTCTACAAAAAACAAAATTAGCCAGGTGCAGTGTAGTGCCATGCACCTGTAGTCCTAGCTATTTGGGAGACTGAGACAGGAAGATCACTTAAGCCCAGGAGGTAGAGGCTGCAGTGAACCATGATTGTACCACTGCATTTCAGCCTGAGCGACAGAGTAAGGCCCTGTCTACGTTTAATAAAAAGAAGAAAAGAAAAAGAAAAAAAGGGAATGGATTCTTCTCAAGCTATTTATTTCTGTAAATTATCAAAAGATAGGCCATCTTGGCCAAGTGCAGTGGCTTACACCTGTAATCCCAGGACTCTAGGAGGCCTAAGTAGGTGGAATGCTTGAGTCCAGGAACTCAAGATCAGCCTGGGCAACACAGCAAAACCCCATCTCTACTAAAAATATGAAAAATTAGCCAGGCATGGTGGCATGTGCCTATAAGCCCAGCTACTTGGGAGGCTGAGGTGGGAGAATCACTCGAGCCCTAGAGGTCAAGGCTGCAGTGAGCTGAGATAGTACCACTGCACTCCAGGCAACAAGAGACTCTGTTTCAAAAGAAAAAAAGATGGTCAACCTAAAAAGATTACTAACTTGGGCTTTCTTCAGTGTTACCTAAAATCTAATATAAAGCTCACAAAAGGGCTTTATGTAGTAGTGGAGAAGGGAAAAATTTCGTTATTTGGAAATGGCTACATTCAGTCTATCAAGTTTACCCAAATCTTAGAGATCACCACTTCGGAGACTTCAGACTCTAGTACAGCCCGTTTCCTATACATGCCTAATAGATTAGACTCAAAGTGCAGTATTTAGAAGGTCTAGAATCAAGTAAAGGGTCAGAAGAATTGGCATTCAGATAACAGAAGGCTAAAGCCATTAGGTGAAAGGTTCTTGAGAAACCTGTATAACAGGTCGATCAGACTGATATCTCCTGAGCTAAAAAACTGTTAAGGTAATTGACTAAAAGAGGAACAGGCAAACCTTACATGACTCTGATGTGATGAAACACAAGTACGAAGCATCACCTATAAAGCTGTCTTGGCAAAAAATTTAAACTTGAATTTACTCAAGCACTACCAGTTTACCAAAAATAGAGGGGGTAAAGAAACACATTAAACAAAATCACAAGGATACAACCTGCCAACTCTAGAACGTGGGAAATTCTACAGGACAAATGACCCAGTTCTTCAACAAGTAAATGACATGAAAACAAAAGGAAGGTTAAGTTTTATAGACTGAAGACACTTATGAGACATGTCAACCAAAGGCAATGTGTAGAGTTTGGATCTTAATTCAAGTAAGCCAAAAATACAAGGTATTTTTGAGATAACTGGGGGAAATGATACATAAACTGGCTATGAAATAGGATTATGGAATTATATATTAAATTTGTTATGTGTAACAATGGTACTGAATGTTTAAAAAAAAATCAGCTAGAGATTTTTAAGAGTGTGTCTAGATGAAGCAATATGACAAAATGTTAACAGTACGTCTAGAAAGTGGGAATCCCTCTATTCTATGTTTGATTTTTCAGTGAAAAGTTAATAACATAATAACATTGTGTGACAAGTAGTATATATTCCTCCCAGTCATGCCAAAGATAGCATTCCATTTCCACCTTCATCTTTGTTGCTTTCCCATCATTTGCCCCCCTTGAACTCAAAGCTGTGATACAGACTGAAAAAAAAAGATGTGACATACCTGTAGTAGCAGTGGCTAAAGTGACAAGATTCTTTCTTAGCATATCATAGAGAGGGCTGTTAAAGAGATAAGATTAAAAAATTAACAATCCCAAATGCCATTATGAAGATATCAGTTGTTTGCTGTTAAATATTAAATGTATTTCTGATGTTATCTCTCAACTTTCTCCATAAAGCATAGAGAGGCAGAATTTTTTTCCCAGATTTAAAAAAATTATTTAATTATTAAGATGTTAATGCCCAGGCCCCTGTGTTACTTTGCCAATATTAAACAAACTGATTAATTTACATTTTATTTCATTAGCTAACAGTAATCCAAGTGGGGAGATTTCCTTTGGAAACTATTCCTTCCTTCTAGGAGTTAAGTTTCGCATTTTAATTAGAGAGTGATGGTGGAGAGAAGTCTTAATGTAAAACAAAATGAGGTCAGATGCAACAGTCATCAAAGCTAAAGAGAAAGAGAACACTAGCCTCTAAATTACTAATTAGCTTTTGAGTGTATAAGCTAATGACTTACACCCCATGCAGTTGGAGAAAAGTAACAGGTCAGATTAGCCCTATCATGATTCTTACTAGGCTCATTATCAACCCCTAACTGCCCAGCAATTCTACATTTCTCTCATCTGCTCACTCTTCCTCTCTCCAACAATTACTTCACAAAATTCTAACCTAGTCACATCAAGCTTCGTCCTACCCAGGTCTTTACACATGGTGTTCAATCAACCTAAAAACTCTTTCAACAAATGCCCTCTCATCAACTCCTTAATTATCTTTCAGCTTTTGGCTCAAATCTCACTTCCTCAAAAGAACTTTTCCTTGACCTCTAACACTCTAAATACCACCCACTCTCGGCTTCATGTATCTCTTTTCTGTAGCACTTATCATAGTGTAAGTTTACCATGAATTGGTATGATAATTTGATTATCAAATTATCCACTTCATAAAATCAGACTGTGGGCTGCTCATTACCATATTCTGAGTACCTCATAGGCTACCTAACATATATAGGCCCTTACATATTTGTTGAGCTAAGTAATAAACCTATAGAAATTAAGTGGCTAGGTATAAGCACCCAAAAAGATACACAAACCCTCACACTTTTTACCTTGGGTCTTTCACGGAGAAGCTCTGACATCCCAGTAGTTCTCCCAAAAGATCTCCACCACAATATACCATATGCTGCTCCTGCTGATCATAAAGCTGCTTCACCATTATGTACTGACCTAAATAGTGCATGACCTGCATGAAATAAAATACCATGTTGTGATCTGTCCAGCTACTGCCAAAAACACAAATTCATTAGAGGAGGTAAGGTAAGTTAGTTTGCTAAAGAGACAACATATTTACAAGACTGTCAATGTTTGTGCAAGGGGTCCTACAACAGGAAAGTTGCTCCCAACTACTAGGTCCATTTACTCCTGTCCTTCTGACAATTAACAGACCCAAACTTTTTAGCACAGAGATCTGACAATGAGAAAAAGCAGTGAATTTACCTAGTATCCTCTTAAAAATTTTCTCAGACATCCAAATAAAGAAGTCTATTCTATTATTAGAAGTAATAAACTTTAAATTTGCCTGAATATAAAACTATTTTCCTAGTCCAGGGCACATAAAAAAAGACTTTAGGCTTCTGATGTGTGTTCACGTAGTAATTCTTTCTGGCAAACGACGTACAAAGTTTAATAAGCCATCAGCACTGTAAGTGAATGAAACATAAAATTCAAGTGTTTATCAAATATAAATTTAGTAGTCTGGATGAAGCAGTTCACACCTATAATCCCAGCACTTTGGGAGGCCAAGGCAGGCAAACTGCTTGAACCCAGGAATTTGATACCAATCTGGGCAACATGGCAAAACCCTATCTCTACAAAAAATACAAAACTTAGTCAGGCATGGTGAGGCATGCCCGTAGTCCCAGCTACTAGGAAGGCTGAGGCGGGTGGATCACTTGAACCTGAAAAGTGGAGGGTGCAGTGAGTTGAGATACAACCATTGCACTCCAACCCAGGTGACAGAGTAACAAGACCCTGGCTCAAAAAAATAAATAGGCCGGGCACGGGTCTCATGACTGTAATCCCAGCGCTTTGGGAGGCTGAGGTGGGCGGATCACCTGAGGTCAGGAGCTCGAGATCAGACTGGCCAAGATAGCGAAAGCCTGCCTTTACTAAAAATACAAAAATTAGCCAGGCATGATGGCACATGCCTGTAATCCCAGCTACTTGGGAGGCTGAAGCAGGAGAATCTCTTGAACCTGGGAGGCAGAGATTACAGTGAGCCAAGATCACACCATTGCACTCCAGCCTGGGTGACAGAGCAACACATTGTCTCAAAAATAATAAAATAAATCAATAAATAGCAAAAATCAGGAAATTCCTTTGATGCAATAGCTAGAGTCAGTCATAACAGAAAGCTTATCATATAAACTCAGGCCAACTCTGCCATGCTAAATGAAGTAAACTGCATCATTCATCATAATCACTATGATATAAAAATCCAGAGTTTACCCCTTGCCTGCATGTGATGCCAGAATTGCCATGGCCAGCTATCCGTAACAGCAGGGCTGCCCAGGAGCTGCAGGACAAGTGCCAGGAGCACCTCTGGGTAGCTGCTACCCTGGACCCCCCAAATAGTGGAGGGCAGTATGGCAGCAGGCTACCCCCAGTGGTGGTTATGGGAGTCCTGCGCCTGGAGGACCTTATGGACCATCAGCTGGAGGGCCCTGTGGACAACCCAATCCTGGGATGTTTCCTTCTGGAACTCCAAGAGGACCACATGGCAGTGTAGCTCCAGGGGACCCCTATGGTCAGCCACCTCCAAATGCCTATGGTGCCCAGCAACTTGGGTCTTATGGGCAGGGTGGCGCCCCTCCCAATGTGGATCCTAAGGCCTGCTCCCGGTTCCAGTCAGTGGAGTCTGATCACAGTGGCTCTCTCTCCATGAAGGAGGCAAAACAGGCCCTGTTCAACTTCAATTGGTCCTCATTCAATAATGAGACCTGCCTTATGAAGATAAACATTTTTGACAAGACCAAGTCTGGCTGCATCGATGTCTACGGCTTCTCGGCCCTGTGGAAATTCATCCAGCAGTGGAAGACGCTCTTCCAGCAGTATAACAGGGACCACTCAGGCTCCATTAGCTACAGAACTGCAGCAAGCTCTGTCCCAAATGGGCTACAACTCCAGTTCACCCAGTTTCTGGTCTCCTGCTACTGCTCACACTGCCAATCCTCCCATGCAACTTGACTGCTTTATCCGGGTGTGCACTCAGCTCCAGGTACTGATGGAGGCCTTTCGGGAGAAGGACACAGCTACACAAGGCAACACACAGCTCAGCTTCGAGGACTTTGTCACCATGACAGCTTCTCGGATGCTATGACCCAACCCATCTGTGGAGAATGCACCAGGGACCTTTCCTGGCTTCTTAAGAGTGAGAAGCATGTGTACCTCTCTTCTTTCCCTGTCCCTCTAGAAGAACATTCTCCCTTGCTTGATGCAACACCGTTCTAAACGAGGATTGAGAGTCTTGCATCATAGCCACCAAACAGTAAGGACCAGAGCTGAGGCCACACAGGTAGGGTCCTGATGGAGGAAAGGATGGAAGTTGAATGTCCTGATGGCCATGAGCAATTGAGTGGCACAGCCTGGCACCAGGAGCAGGAGATACTGGTCCTTGTAACGGAGTTAGTGTCCAGTCAGTTGAGCTCCACCCTGATGCCAGTGGCGAGTGTTCATCGGCCTGTTACTGTTAGCACCTGTGCTCCTTCACCAGGCCATCCTGTCACATGAACCCATTTTCTCCCAAGTGGAATCTGACCAAGCATGAGAGACCATGGGACCAGTGGCTTGGATTCCACCACACCCATAAATCCTTGTGTGTTAACTTCTAGCTGCCTGGGGCTGTCCCTGCTCAGGGAGCTCAGCCAAATCTGCTCCCCAGGCATCTATGGCCAGGCTACTGCCCTCCGCAGCTGAGACCCCTCACTTGCCTGCCAGGCTCTGCTTGGCTTCGGATTCCAGGGGACAGTGGTCACCTCTCCCTGCCAATACAATACTCTTTTTAGTTTGCATTTTTTTTCATTTGGCGCCAAAAGTCCAGTGAAATTGTAAGTTTCAATAAAAGGATCAAACTCAAAAAAACAAACAAAAATCCAGACTTTAATAACAGTTTGGAAAAAAAGGTGATACATATCAAAATTTTTAGAGCTATAGTCCAAAACAATGCACTTAATTGAAAATCATAAAATACAGGTATTCTAAAAAACCAGAAATGCCTCCAGATTTGTTTCCTTGAGAGGTGTAATGGTTTTGGAGTGTGACAGTGTTGATAGGTGTGAAGGTTTTAAGTTTAAAAAAAAAAAAGCCTGATAATTTTGTTTCTTCTCTTTAGGATTAGCTATTTACGCTACCAAATGAAAGCAGTTCCAACAGACTAACATTTTAATACTGAGTCTTTTCCACTTAAATAATACAATTCCTTTCTGTTTTTTTAAAAAAATCAGAAGCTAAATAAGATATTTAAATGTGTGTTTATAATAATTCACAGTGCTCAGAAGAGTATTTGACACATTTATAATGAAAACTGGCCAGGCACGGTGGCTCACGCCTATAATGCCAGCACTTTGGGAGGCCGAGGTGAGCGGATCACGAAGTCAAGAGATTTGAGGCCATCCTGGCCAACATGGTGAAACCCCATCTCTATCAGTAAAAAATACAAAAATTGGCTGGCACCTGCCTGTAGTCCCAGCTACTGGGGAGGCTGAGGCAGAACTGCTTGAACCTGGAAGGCGGAGGTTGCAGTGAGCCAAGATGGCGCCACTGCAGTCCAGCCTGGTGCCAGAGGGAGACTGTCTCAAAAAAAAAAAAAAAAAAGAACAAAAAATAATGAAAACTGCTGCATTTAATTACTGCCTCAAAATACAGCCTATACATCCAAGTGTCCTTTTTTTTGAGACAGGGTCTCATCTGTCAACCAAACTGGAGTGCCCATCACTGTAACCTTCGCCTTCCAGGTTCAAGCGATCCTCCCACCTCAGCCTCCCAAGTAGATGCTGGGACTACAGGGCTATACCACCATGCCTACCCACTTTTCCTATTATTTTAGAGACGGGGTTTCACCATTTTGCCCAGCCTGGTCTCAAATTCCTGGGCTCAAGTGATCCACCCGCCTCACACTTTCCAAGTGCTGGAATTACAGGTGTGAGCCACCATGCCCAGTGGCCCACCCCTGGGTCGTCCCCCTCCCCCTACAACTAGGTTTCTGGATTTTGTTTTCAAGAGAGAAGGTCTCACTCTCTTGCCCAGCCTGTGGTGCAGTGGTTGCCATCATAATTCATTGAAACTTCAAACTCCTGGGCTCAAGCGATGCTACAGGCATGCTCCACTCAACCTGGCTTATGAATTTTTGTATGTTTTCTAGAGATGAGGTTTCATCATGTTGCCCAGTCTGGTCTCAAAATCCCAGGCTCAAGCAATCCATCCACCTCAGCCTCCCAAAATACTGGGATTACAAGTGTGAGCCACCGTGCCAGGCCCAAAAAGTGTCTTTTTCATCCTTATTTGCTCTGCATTTTAACTCAATGAATTCATGGTTCATCTTATGTTTATCTTACAACACGCTTCAAAAGAAAAGAAATATGATGTTCAACTTAACTGTCTTTAAAACAGAATAAAAGTTGCCCCTCTGATACCTAAGGAATAGAACTGAGGCCTGATTTCAAAATTACTCATTCACTGGCTTATATTTCTACACT